TGGGCCTGCCATGTTCTCTGGCCTCATCTGGTTCAGAGGAAGTCTCAGAAGAGAAGGAAGCATCACCATGGGAGCCATTGTCTCCCACTACAAGACTTTCCAGGCCACAGCCCATGGCCCCAAGGGTTCTGCTGCAATATAATCCTCACTGTCCTCCTGCAGAATCAAACAACTGCCCTTGAAGAAAAACAAAAAAGGGGCTGGGTTCACAACAGGTCTGGACCAGCCAACTTCAGAAGGCCTAAAACAGCTCTTCTTGTGAGTGACAGCCATCATCTGCCACAGAGATCTGTTTGTGTTCCTGGCAGACTGTGCCTTGCCCTGCCCTGCCCTGCCTTGCCCTTACTAGCCTAATCTATTGCAGTGGTTTCCAAACTTTTGGGAACCACCATCCCCTTGGTTCCATGAACTCATCCCTAGTGCCCCCTACCCTATAAAAAGCATTATTCAGAATAGAGGTTTTTCACAACCTACTAAGGAAGACAATAACACAATACAATTCAAAACAGTTACAATTAATTGCACATTTATTCAAAATCCAATGAAAACTATTTAGTTTAATTAAGTTGACAAGACTGATGAAGTCGATCCAGTGATGCCCGGTTTTCAAACACTGATAGTCACCCCACCATCTCTTGCTTCTTGGTGCCCCCTAGGTAACCCCACTGCCCCAAAGGGGTGGTACCACCTACTTTATGAACCACTGGCCTATTGTTGCCCTAATTAAATAAATATGACTGCTTTTTTGGATATGATCCTGCAGCTGCTCCAACCCAGTCTTCTCTGAGAGCCTTGACGTGAACTAGGACATGGCTCCCCTTGGTATAACTAAGTATGGATACAACAATTTAGACTTCTCCTTTCCCCCCTTTAAGCTTTCCTCAACTGAAACAAAAATTGCTTACAACCAAAGGTAGGGAGGGGAGGGGGGGAAATGAGATTTCCTACAAAAAGAAGTTAAGACTTCAGGTGGTTTAACTATCCGGATGAAACCTGTTTGTGCGTAGAAAAAGCTATTTAAAGGGCAGTAAAGAAATGAATTTAGACCCTGGAATGAGTTGGATAAATCTTTGCAATGGGATCTTCTGTAACAGCACTATTAAAGGACAGCTCTTGGACACAGCTTTAGGAATGCATTTGAAACACATTCCACCTCCTGAAAAAATCACAACCAGCAATTGAATTTCCCTCACCATTCCTCATAATGCCCCACTTTTAAACAAAATATCTTGACCCAACGGAATGCTGTTTCTTGCATTTTGCTGAGAAAGCAAAATAATCTTTTTCAGCCTGTGCAGAATGTTATCGGCTGAAAATGCATTTCATTTGCCTCTAATTCTGCCATCACTGGAAAGCAACATGGATATTTTAGATGGCTTGTATATCACCGTCAGTTCCATTTCTGCTGCAGTTGGAAAGAGGACTTCTATGTATTATAAACAAATGGATCACTGGAGTTTAATCCAGAGCCTTTTAGGACTCAGTGATGGAAACTGATGTCTGAGAAATATATTGTGTCTTCGAGGTACATAGTTTGTCTTTCTGTGACTGTTTCATGACCACAACCCACCTACCAGGGCTCTAGACCTGAATACCACTGTTCAGGGTTATTCCAAGGCCCTTCCCTGAATTTTCCCCTTTCATAACCCCCGCCCCCAAAACCCCACCACTTTATTTGTGAGGGTATAAGGGAAATCATGCAGGCAGCATTCTAGAGCAAACAAACCTGTCACAAACAGGAGACCAAGTCTATTAATCCAATGGGTCCCAGTGGGTAAGGTTTGCTCTGGGTGTGACACCTAATAAATGATAATGATGATGATAATAATAATAATAATAATTATTATTATTATTATTATTTATTTATACCCCGCCCATCTGGCTGCGTTTCCCCAGCCTCTCTGGGTGGCTTTCAACAGAATATTTAAATACAATAGTCTATTAAACATTAAAACCTTCCCTAAACAACATCTTTGCTCAGGTGGTTACTACCAGAGGCCCCGAAAAGCCCGTGTGTGCCCTGACTCTCCTGATTCTGCCTGAGATGCAGAACATTATCCATTATTTATTTTCAATAATTATAGACTGCTTTTCACTGTTGATTATCACAAATCTCATCTACCTCACAGGATTGTTGCGAGGATTAAATGAGGAGAGGGAAAACCATACACACCACCTTGAACTCCTTGCAGGAAAAGGTGGGATATAAATGCTATTATTATTATTATTATTATTATTATTAGGCTGGTACACTTGAAACTGTGGACTTTGGGGGAGGTTGTGGCCTGCAGAAAGCAGGCAGGTAACACTGCAAGCAGTCTGGGGAGAGTTGGGTCTCCCAGAGTTTCCTGTCTGCAGTTTTCTACAGATCTTTTCTGTATTGTTTCATAAAGTCATGGTCCTAGTTTATCCTAGTTTGTTCTTTTTGAATAATCTTTCAACTGTAGCCCACCAATGCAGCCTTGCAAGCTGCTTTTAACCCCCTGCCAAGTTTCAAAACTGGTTTGCCTTACAGCTGAGAGTTTGATTATACATGCGGCGCTAGCTGCGCAGATCCATGCATTATGATTCCGGTTGCCTGAAAAAAGGAAAATCCATTATCTTCAATTAAAGTATAACAGCACACACAGTATGCTGTATGGCAGTGTGCGATTTCTCCATAACATGGAATGCAATTTTAAAACGGAGCCCACCTTGCGACATTTCTCCCCCCGCTCCCTGCCCAGATCAGGAGGTATGTTATTCTGCAAAGAGAAATAACATTTGCCAAGTGTTTCATCTATTGTGAGTTATCACCATTTTATTAATTCTGTTTGTCATTTTCTTCTTCCCCATTCGGCCAAGATCACACATTTATTTCATTTATTTCAATGGTATTGTCAAGCAGGAGCAATGCATTTTCATTGCTATTGAAAGGCAATGCAATTGAGAGGCAAATCCTATTTCTAAGTAGCATCACAGAGATGAGGACCTAGGAATCAATTTTTGTTTGCTTGTTTGTGTGCGCGTGCATGCATTTGTGCCATCAGCTCCTTGCGGGGGAACACAGCAAGTTAAACCAGGGTGGGGATACCTGAACAACAAGTTGCTTGCCCGAAGATGACTCTTTTCCCAGCATAAACAGATCATGCTTAGTGATACGGCCTCGGCCCTGTATACCTGAAGGAATGTCTCAACCCCCATCGTTCAGCCCAGACACTGAAGTCCAGCTCTGAGGGCCTTCTGGTGGTTCCCTCACTGAGAGAAGTGAGGTTACAGGGAATCAGGCAGAGGGCCTTCTCAGTAGTGGCGCCCACCCTGTGGAATGCCCTCCCATCAGATGTCAAGGAAAAACCCAACTATCTGACTTTTAGAAAACATCTGAAGACAGCCCCTCTTTAGGGAAGTTTTTAATGTTTGATGTTTTATTGTGTTTTTAATATGTTGGGAGCCACCCAGAATGGCTGGGGAGGCGCAGCCAGATGAGTGGGGTATAAGTAATAAATTATTATTATTATTATTATTATTATTATTATTATTATTCTGCAAGTGGGCTGAAGGCAACTCCCCATCAGGTGCATTTCAGCTCCTACTCTCTTACCAACCCAGAAGCGTATTTTTCCTGTCCCTGTAAGAAACATTGGTTCCTATGGACTGGGAAAAGGAAACTTCAGTGGAAAGATTGGAGACTGGGAGAGAGCTGAAAGTCACCCCTGTTGATGACCTGTGAGGGTTGCCTTCAGTCCCCACCATCCAATTTTGACTTCACATGGGCTTCCCCCACCCCAGCCCCTCAAGAACTAGTGGTTCAATCCCTGGCATCTCCAGGTAGGACTGGAAGCTGCTGTCAGTCAGTATAGGCAATAACAAGCCGGATGGATTAATGGTCTGACTTGGTAGAAGGCAGGAACTCTGAACATAGGAAACTAACTACAAGAGCACCTATGTGCAGACGGCTGTATTCACATAAGCACCCATATTCAGTTATTTGGCTTAACATGCAGCAGAAATCTCATTTCCTCCTCCATGCAGAAATTGATTTTTTTTTATTCATTGCTTTTGTATGCCACTCATATAACAGATCTCTGGGTGGTTTACAAACCATTAAAAACACAAGATGCAATGTGAAATGGAAATGATTAGGAAACATTAAAACCAGTTGTAAATAAATAGATAAAAACAAAGACTGTTTTGTAAATGCATGAAAGGGTAGATAAAATAAAGGGGGAAAAACAGAGCTTTGGGTTTAAGAGAATTCACAATCTGGGATTTAGCTGAAATAAATGGGAGCAAGAGGAGTTTGATGAAATCACTGGCAGCAGTTCATGCTTATGTTACTTCTCTGTCACTTCTGTGTTTTATGTTTCTTGGTAGATCTTCCTGAATCATTCGTTAGAGAAGAATGCTAAGGTTGTTGACACTCTGAAAATGTTTCCATATCTGTATGGCTTGTAAAACATTCCTGTTGAGCTCAGAAAGAGAGCATCTACTTGGTGTGCAGAAGGAGCCAAGTTCAATCTCTGCCATCTCCAGGTAGGGCTAGGAATGTCCTCTGTTTGAAACATGGTGCAGCTAATTGGTGTAGCGTCTCCTGGGTTTCCCAAACTTGGCTTTCCAGCTGTTTTTGGACTACAATTCCCATAATCCCTCACCACTGGTCCTGCTAGCTAGGATGAGGGGGAGTTGTAGTCCAGAAACGGCTGGATACCCAAGTTCCGGAAACCCTGGAATGTGGGGCTAAATGGACCAATGGTCTGGCTCAGTATACGGCTGCTTCCTATGTCCCCAAGTCTCACAGCACCATGGGGACAAATGGTGTGGTGGGGTCTGAGCTGCATTCCACAAAATGGCTGCCTGCAGGCAGCAGCAAAGGCAGGTTTCCAAGTGGCTTTGAAATGGCAGCCATTCTGTGCATTCTGGGAGAAGAATAGCATTTAGTAACTAGGAAAATAATTTCAACATAGAGGCCATTGCTAAACAAAATAAAAAAAAAAATTCCTTCCAGTAGCACCTTAGAGACCATCTAAGTTTGTTATTGGTGTGAGCTTTCATGTGCATGCACACTTCTTCAGATACTTCTACAGATACTTCTTCAGATACGCTTCTTCAGTATCTGAAGAAGTGTGCATGCACACGAAAGCTCACACCAATAACAAACTTAGTTGGTTTCTAAGGTGCTACTGGAAGGGATTTTTTTATTTTGTTTCGACTATGGCAGACCAACACGGCTACCTACCTGTATCTAGGCCATTTCTAGAACTTGGATTGGATTGGATTAGCTGCAAAGGATTTTTGTTTCCCCCGGTTTAAAATCCTCGCCTGTCAAAAGCAAATGTATTGTTTTCCGTCCATGAAGGGATTGTTGCAAATGTGGTGCTAGAGGGAGCTGGCGCCTAAGAAAACGAGTCAGCACTTTAAACATGGAAATTTATCTTGTCAAGAGAAGGTAAACCTGTTCCTCTTTTCTCTAGGGCTACACAGGTCACGTTGCCTAGTTTTGATTTCAAAAACTCTGGGCAAAAAGTCCCCCTTTGGGAGAATGAAGAGTTGTTGTTTAAGAAAAAGTAGGCGCTAAGGACACAGCAGTTTTGACCATTTATCAATTACTTTCCCAGATTAAAAACACATATGGGTAATAGATCCAAGAATGTAGCTATGTTAAGATACAGATTTTATTTTGCTTTTCAATGAGACCTGTGACAATTTGTGAAAACAAATTCAGACACTAGTTGTTTGCTATAGTGTTCTTCTAATCACCAGCTGGAGGGGGGAAAGTTTGAAGAAAGGAAGAGCCAAGAACTGCTGGTCTCTCAGCTGAGCTGATGGTGGGGCTCTGCAATCTCATATCTCTCTCTCCTATAGCCTGACGCAAAGACTGCTGCTAGATGACAGTTGACAGCTGAGATAGGAATGAGATTTCCCCCCTTCCCTCTTGATTGCCATTCAGTCGCTGCCGGCAGCTTCACCTAATGAACCACCTCAGCAGCCGCCACTGAAGATTCATCACTTCGATATTAATTGTGCTCTTCAAATGAGCTAGATGTATGTTGTCTTCTTCCCTTGTTTTGGCCTGAAGCCTCCTTACCCATTCCATTAAATAAAGACAATAGCTGTGCTGGGGTTCTCTCTTTCTAACTGTCTTCTGCTGTGGGCGCCATTTGGCTGTAAGATGATTACTTTCTTCCCATTGTGGCCTTCAAGGCCTGGCCTCCCTCTTCTGCCTTTTCCCTGAACTTCCTTTCCCTGGTGCAAATGTAGTGACACTGCTTGTTTATTTTAATCAATGAGAGCCACTTCAGGAGACAATGATTGAACGGAAAGCAGGATAAAAATATAGAACAATGGTGATGAATAAAGAGAGCCAGTGAGATATATTGGTCAGAGCAGGGGTCGAGATTGTCCTCTGATCATTGGGGCTTCTAAGCACAGATCAGGGCTCACTGCAAATACCTACAGTCAGCTGATTGCGGATGCCCTGCACAGCCAAAGCCCTTCCTGACAGTCAGCTGATATTGACTGTGTTATGTATTGAAGTTCTCACCCTTGCCACCAGGGGTATTGTGTATATAGTTTTCACTCAGGTCCACGTAAGTTAATTTAGGCGGGAAACCCAGGGCTGTTGTTGTTACAGTGTTGAAAGCCAGCTGCCTATAAAAGCAGGTCGGCTGAGCTGTTTGCTGTTCAGTTCAGTTCAGTTCCAGCTTACTTATAAAGAACTACTTGGAGAAATCTCTGTGTCGTCTCCTATGTCCACCCACTACTTAATTGACTGGACGAGAGAGTTACCCTTCAGGACTGGAGGGAGAAGCTTGTATTCAAAGTGCTTCCTTTGGTACTTTGAACACAAACAGCTTTCTGGAGAAACTGAGTGGGGTGGAATCCTCCACTTCCCCCTCTTTATTTCCACAGAAAGACATTTGAATTCACAGCACAGGAAGAAGCACTTTGAATACAGACCACCTGTGCTTGGCTGCAGTGGGGTTTGTTTGCATTTGTGATTGGCGGGGGGAGGGCTTTCACTTCCAAGGAAATGTAGTAAATGAATAGAAAGAGAACATACCCAGTTGATACTGACACAAAACTCCACATGTACGCTATACTAAAGAATATAAGCCTCACCACCCTACCCATCCTCTCCCCCCTCTTCTTTCCCAACCTTATACTGTACTCAACACTAAGGTCTCATAACAAAGTTACGAACTTAATTCGTTCTGGAGGTCCGTTCTTAACCTGAAATGTTCTTAACTAGAGGCGTGCTTTCGCTAATGGGGCCTCTTGCTGCTGCTGCGCCGCCGGCACACGATTTCCATCCTCATCCTGGGGCAAAGTTCTCAACTTGAGGTAACTCTTCCAGGTTAGCGGAGTTTGTAACCTGAAGCATTTGTAACCTGAGGCGTTTGTAAATCGAGGTACCACTGTAACTGATTTGTAAGAAAGACCATACAACCTGAAAAACAGAGACAAGACATGTATTTTTCTAAACCAATAAAATCTGTAATAATAATAATAATAAATGCAGACCACCTTCTCTGCAAATGGGAAAAACATTCCATTTTAAAATAAAGATACCCCACCTTTTTCCTTGACAGGTTTCAATCATCTGACATCACTATGATGGGCTGCGAGTGGTCCTGTCCACCACAACTAGTCCACCAAAGTTGGTCTGCAGGGGTTGGGGGAGATAAAGGTTAGAGTGCTGGACTATGACCTGGGAGACCAAATTCAAACCCCAATTCAGCCATGAAGTTCACCAAATGACCATGAGCCACTTAACCATGGGTCTCTTATGCTAATCTTGAATTCCTTGGAGGAAAATTCGGGTATAAATGAAATGAATAAACAACCTGCCTCACAGGGTTGTTGTGAGGATAACGGAGGAAAGGGGAGAAGCATGCTCTAACCAACAGAGCTATCCAGACTGCATGCCACCTTGAAGGGAGGGTGGAATATATATGTGATAATCAATAAATGATTAAAAAAACAAATCTGATATTTAAATGTGGGGCATTTCCTTTTGCAGGAAGGAACTCCTCTGGGATGCCGGTCTCCGTTTCTCTGCAGAATCATTTAGAGCATAAACGAAAGATTAAAAAGAAAGATGTTTTTGAATACGATCTGTCCAAAAGAATGTACAAATAAAGGAAAAACAGCGCCACTGCGCCACTGATGTGATGTTAATGGACAGTTAATAATTAATGCTTCAGCACACAATTTACAGCCCCCCCCCCCTGCGGATTGTATTCAGCACTCCTGCACTCTCAAAGAAAATAAAGGCAGTCTGCCTGATCCTTTGCAGAGTTAGGCACACTTAAGCCCATTGATTTCAGTGGGCTTAGGCATGCTTGATTATCGACAGAGTTAGCAAAGGTTGAAGGGAGCAATTCTTAGAGTAATGGTAAGCTGTTTTTGTTTTTTAATGTGCCGTTTTTACAAACTGGATAGTGGTCATAAAAGCACGTTCCAGTCTTCATTACTGATAGAAGGATATAGCTAAGGATTTATGCACAACAAACTCAAGGTAGTTTAATGATCTTTCCTTCTCCACGGGGAACCTGGGCTTTTATTTAAAGAGGGACGCTAGATTCTCCTGGTGACAGTGCCAAACTAGCATGTCCCAAGATTGTTTAGGGGAAAGGTACAGTTATTCAAGCGGTATATTATTTTTATTATTTTAAATTAGTATATTAGAAAAGCAGTATAAATGTGTTGCATAGATATTCTCCCATTCCAGGCTGAAGTCAGACAGCAGAGAGTCTTGCCCTTATGGCACAAGATTCAGGCTTAAAACACACTTTCAGACAGTGCTGTTCCAGCACAGGTGGCAGATTCTCTGTTAGGGGTTGACAGCCTGTGGCCCTCCAGATGTCGGGCATTCTCCCATCATAGGCTATGCTACAGCATCTGGATGATGACAACATCTGGAGGGTCACAGGCCAGCCTCATTTGCTTTATATATCCTGGGTGAAGCCCCACATCTTTGGAGTGAGGCTGTGTGTTAGTTAAAGGGTCTGCATCCAATAATGGAGTTCTGCTGTCTCCACTGAGGTTGGAAGATCTGTGACCCGGGGGAGTGGAGGAGGAGGTCCTTTTGGGCTGCCCCACCACCTGTATGTTCAGGTGAAGAAAAAGAATCCAAGCTGGTGGAGGAAAGCGGAGTTCTTTCTTCCAGAACCAGGAACAAAGGCTTCACCATCTGCTGTGGCTGCTCCTCTGTAGAAGCTTCTTCTTCTTCTTTTTAATTTTAAATACTATTTATTAAGAGTTTAAAAGTTACAAAAAAAAAATAGCTTCTTACTGTGATTACTGCTTCAGGGATGCAATCATCCCAAATCTTCTGAGCTCTTCTAGAATCAAGATGGGGCAGGATTATGAGCTGTGTGAAATATACTCAAGGATTTCCATAGATTTCCAGCAACATTCCAGTGCTGCTGTGTGTTTTCATATTAAATCAAGAAGGACACTGACAAACTGGAACATGTCCAGAGGAGGGCAACCAAAATGGTCAAAGGCCTGGAAACGATGCCTTATGAGGAACGGCTAAGGGACATGGGCATGTTTAGCCTGGAGAAGAGGAGGTTAAGGGGTGATATGATAGCCATGTTCAAATATATAAAAGGATGTCACATAGAGGAGGGAGAAAGGTTGTTTTCTGCTGCTCCAGAGAAGCGGACACGGAGCAATGGATCCAAACTACAAGAAAGAAGATTCCACCTAAACATTAGGAAGAACTTCCTGACAGTAAGAGCTGTTAGACAGTGGAATTTGCTGCCAGGGAGTGTGGTGGAGTCTCCTTCTTTGGAGGTCTTTAAGCAAAGGCTTGACAACCATGTGTCAGGAGTGCTCTGATGGTGTTTCCTGCTTGGCAGGGGGTTGGACTCGATGGCCCTTGTGGTCTCTTCCAACTCTATGATTCTATGATTCTATAAACTAGAGATGGGGAACCTCTAGGTGTTAGCAACATAAAGAGAGCCTGGATTGGGCCATTGGACCATCTGGTCCACATTCCTGTTCTCATGGGGCCAGCCAGAGGGTGTACAAGAGCACTCTCCCCTCCTGTGGTTTCCAGCTAATGAAATTCAGAAGCATTACTGCCTCTGACCATGGAGGCAGAACATAGCCATGGTGGCTAGTAGCCATGGATAGCCTTCAGCTCCCACTAGTCCCAG